TGGCAATAAAGGAAAGAGAAGGGCTGTGGGTAGGACCTGTCAGCCTCTCTTGTACAGCAGCTTCGTTCGCCACCGCCGTGGTTGAATACTGCTGTACACGGGGCTCACGGCTACAGCTACACCATTTTCCCCCACCGAAAACAAATAGTAATTTGGCTACTTGAGAAAAGAACATCTGCCTGCTTGTTCGGCCCGTGTGCCTGCACGGCAGCAAAGCTGTCGCAGGCAAGAAGCAGATCAGGAGCTTGTCCGACGCAGGCAGCGGGGAAGGCAGGAGGTCCCGGGGCAGGGAGATGCTCGGTGCTGGCTGCTGTGCCCGGCAGAGGCAGACCCAGAACTCGCTGCTCATCGCAAAGTGGAGGAGGGAAATCCAGGAGCAAAGCCTCCTGCTCCCAGTTTGTGGTGGACAAGTCAACTTGCTAAATGGCTCCTCCTATTAACAAGTGAAAAGGGTTTGGAGGCCTTTCAGTGAATTTGCTCCTGTACCGTTGTGCTAGGAAGAGAGGGGGGAAAAAGGTGTATTTTGTGTTTCTTTCCATCCTGCCTCATTCCCTCTCCTCCCCCTTGCCCTCATATCTGTCCACATAAAACAACAGGTGCTTTCCATAGGATAAGGAGTGAGCATGAAATTAGGGCAACAAGGTAATTGTATATTTATTTCCTGATTCCCCACCACAACTGCTACTGGAACCAGTTTCTGTAGGCACAGCTCTCCCAGCTGAACGGAGTTTGAGCCGGCTCCTTGCTGTGACAGAAGGAGCATCTCTCTCTGGGGAGCAAAAGAAAGGGGTTTTTCCCCTCCCTACCTCTGTGGGACCACTCACACCCCCTTCCATCTCACAGGCTGCTAAAGTCACGTATTGCCATGGGTTTCCTGTCATCTTCTTATCAAGTATCTATGAATTTACCTTCCTGAAATTGTAGCTGTGAGAGGAGCCAGGAGGGTGTCTTGGCTTTCCATCAACTTTGCTGAGGCAGCATGGAGGCTGTTGTTGGTGTGGTAGTACAGCCTGCGGCATTTAGTAACCAAGGAACTCCTCAGAAGATCAACTCAGAACAATCTCTGGAAACCATCTCACACCAGCTGCAGCAATACAAAGTCCTACTAATTGGTTATGCAAACCCATGGGTAGTATTAAAGAACCTGATGATTTACTGCACTGTGCCAAGCGTCCCATCTGGGTGGCACATTGGCCCACCACTTATTTAAGTAAGCCCTTCCCAAGCCTCTAAACTACTGTGCAGAGCAAGAAGTTTCACAGCAGAGACTTGGGAGGAGCATCAGTGTGCTCCACGGTGCAGAAGGAAAGGTGAATAAACGAGCAGAGAAGAGGGGTAGTCAGCAGGTCCTGTGTGAATTTGGTTTGATTTCCCCTTTGCCCAGTGCATAATCTCCCCTTTCCCTTCTCCTGCCCCTGCAAAAAGAGAAAGAGTATCATCAAGGGACTGATCATAAAGAAAACAATGCAGGCAAAGCCTCTGGAGATCTCAGGCGAAGCATCACAATGACATAGCTGCTCCTGGGCTTGCTGGGCTGTAGTGTGGGGAGAACATTTACACAGATGAAACTTGCAGAGAAATTCTGGGAAAGCAAAATGGAGCTGCACGGCTGAGGGGTTTGCTCTGCACTCAAGATCCTCCTCTTCATGTCATGGGCTCCTGGGTTAACCAGCAGGCAAGAATAGCCAGACCTTTGCCTTCCTGTCAGTTCTGGGAACCAGTCATACCCTCTTCTTAATTTAAACAAAGTCCTTTCCACCCTGTCCAGGCCACTTTTACCAACTGCAATGGCTAACACTATTTGGAAAAACTCTGCAGCCAGCATGTGTTTGTCTTCTCCTCACACTTTCAAAAATGATTGTGCTGGAGGAAGGAAGCCGCCCCCTCTTTTGCTCCCTCCAGCTGGAAAATCACCTCTAATCTTACTGCCCTTTTTCCTGCTATGCATCCTGCCAATTAAAACTGGGTCTTGTTATGAACTGCAAATAATGTGGCTAAGCCTTTGGCCAGGTTTTTTTTTCTAGTTCAATTCTCATTCTGCCCATGAACCTGGGTTTGGCTCATATTTTGTATCCTATGATCAGCTCATCCCCTTCTCATTTCAACCTCGGTTCTTGCTTGCTGTCAGCTTTCCTACTGCTCTGCCTGGCATCTGCTACGCCATTTTCTTCCTGCTGTTTTCACATGTGATGGGCGAATGGGCTCACTTCCCAGTGCACTGGGGACATTTCAGCCCTGCTGGGTACCCAGAAGGGCCTGTGTTCATTCCCCTATGTACCACATGTGGAGGACACACACACATATACCACCTGGCTGAGCTAAGGCCTTGTTTGCTTGTTTTGGCTTCCAGGATGTGTAACCTCACGTTGCCATTTGACTGCTCCACAGGAAAATACCATCAACTTGTAGTGGACATGACCACCTCCAACAGAGTGTCCTTCTCTGTCTCTCTAACTCCCTACAGAAATGGCTGGGTAACTTGGGTGGGATTGGGTGGCCTCTGCCCACACCTCCACATCTGGCTGTTAAGGACCACTCACTGGAAAAGGTGTGTAACTCTATTTAACTATGGACTCTGGAGGGTCTTTTTGTATACATTGACCTCTCTCTTGCGGGCTTGATAATAGGTTCTCCCCTTTACAGCCAATGCTTATTTCATTCTTCTGTTTCCTGTTAAAGCAGTTCTTGGATAAAAACACAAGTTCCTTCCCTGGAAATTCTTAAACTCAGCAGTGGCCAGGAGATAAACTTGCCCATGGTCTTTTAGGGCCTTGCTCCTCTAGAGCTGAAGAGCCCCTTGATGTGTTGGAAGTCAAAAATGCTTTCTCTTTCTTTCTGCAGAAGTCAAAGCCTTTTAGGAAGTTTCAAAAGCTCTTCCCTACTTCCCTGACACATGCAGTAGAAAGGGCGATGTGTCTGCACATCTTTCCAATCAGACTGCAGGCTCCACCGAGATGTTTGGATACTGCAAGGCAGAGCTGGCTGCTATGGGGAGAGTGCTGTCCACAGGAGCTCTGTTGGCTTTGGTGGCACTGCTGCTGTCTTTCTCCTTGACATGTGGAGGGACCCCACCTGGAGTTTTGTCCATGTTTCGCTCAAGCTCGATGTCACTGTGGAAACAAACAGATGCTACATAGCTGTCATAACTGTTCCTAACTCTTTTTGTTTTCTCTTTGAGGACTTCCTTCTTCCAGCTCCTGGTGTGAGTTTGCACTGCTTGCAAGTACCCTGAGTATCAAGCTACATAAGGACAACCATTTTCTGCAGAAAGTAGGTTGTTGTGTAGCACCTGGAAGCTCTCTGAGATCTTTTTTGAATGCACATTCACAAAATTCCCACTTTCCCCTACACTTTGCGGTGCTCCTG